CCCATTTGCTTGTTTTTGTCAGGCCATAGACAGAAGCAGTCATGAACTGCACCGTATTCTTAGCGGCCATGATGAAACTGGCTGTTCTGTAGTTTCTTGTAGGCTCCAATACCTCAATTAATGCATAAATGCCATTCATTAGAAATGCTAGTGAAACAAACATTGGGGTTAAATTGACCATTTTTACTTCTTCTTCAATTTGCTCAAATCAAAGACTTTGAACATCTTTTTCCTGACAGGCAGCTCCTCTTTTTTGGTTTCTTTGACTTCGAACTTCGTATATTTGATTTCCTCCAGGTATTTTGCTAGAAATGACGTCTCTTTGCTTCTGTATAGCACACTGAGCAACGAATAGACCATCATCATACGATCTGTCTTCTCTGCATTAGGAAACAGTCCCCCAAACAGCTCCTCCAGTTCATTTCTGGTCTTTTCTATATTATTGTAGTTGTTTTGTACCACTTTTGATGTTTCAGTCAGCCCAACGCTGCTTATTCTTTGTCTTTGCATCTCCACAATGTTTTTTGTCAGGTTTTCCACCATTTTCATGTTCAAATTACTCTCTGATTTGAAATTGATACCATTTTGATTTCCTATTACTGGATTCAATAGCCTTGGTTTCACGTCAATGTTCTTCAACAGCTTCTCTAACTGTTTGCTGCTCACCTCGCTCACCTCATTCTTATCCAAATCCATTCTTTTCTCAATTCCCAGATACTTTTTCAGTTTAAACTCCTCCAGGTCCTTTTTGATGTTGTGTATCTTGAAGCAATGAGCCCATAACTCGCTTTTGTGTGCAAATGCGTAGCAGTGGCTTTTGATACACAGCTCCTCTGTACAACAGTAGTGTTCTGATTTAAAGTGTCTTTCTAGTGATGGATAGTCTTCAAAATAAACGTGGATTTTCCCCAAAATGTGACAAACATGGTGCTTTTTTGAGCAATGCATCTTGGCTTCCTTGTTATCAAAGCACCAGATATTGCAGAAGATGCAGAACACGTGTTCTAAACTTCTATGGACCTTAAACTCCTCGTATTTCTTGTAGACTGTGATTTCATCCCATAATTCAAATTCCCTAAGGAGACATGTTTTACATGCATACGTGTTCTCGTGTTTTTTTAGGTGCTTATACAGGTTGGAATAGCTCGTGTACGTCTCATTGCTCTTGTTATCGCATATTTTGCATCGTATTGTTATTAGGTCATTTATGTATTTCCCTATCTCTTGATTCGTGTAAAATAAGTACTTGATTGCACTCTCCTGACTGTATTTTGTTGAATTATTCTTGGATATCACTATTTTATCACTCATTCTATTGCACTGACTGCACTTGAGATCTTTAAATAAGTGTACCATTTTTATACCACATCTTCCACATACCCAGTGACTACAGTCGTAGTATCCAACGTATTTGCTCTCTTCTAAGCAGATTATGCATTTGGATTTGTTAAGATTCTCTGATGACATTTTATGGGATCCAAATTTTAGTTCTTTATTCAACCTGATCTGAACCAATCTTCATTTACCACTATTGAATTAATTGCATCCTTTATTATTGCACCAGAATGATCATTTATCAAACAACTTTACCCCACGATGACCGAACAAGGCAAACGAATCAAAAATGAGCACTTCAAGCCTATCAATTCATTCATAACTGAGGGAAACATGCGATTCAAGCTGCTTAAATTCATAGGACGTGGCGCATATGCACAGGTGTTTGAGACACAGGTTGTATCAGGCTTCTCGTATAAAATTATGCCAGAGAAAGTGGCACTAAAAATTATTAAAATGGAACTAGTGAAGTCGAACAAGGCCAAGGAGCTGCTTGAATCCGAAATAAAGATCCATTCCAGACTGGAACACGAGAATATCGTGAAGATGTACTACTCATTCAGAGACAGTGATTTCATATACATTGTGATGGAATACTGCAATGGTGGAGCACTGGACAAACACAAATTGTATAGGAGCATAAAGGACAAGAACAGTAAACACGTTGTTACTGAAGAGCACTACTGGAATAGTAGGCGGATTTGCCACCAAATTATGCAAGGAATCAAGTACCTGCATTTTAATGAAATAGTTCATAGGGACTTGAAACTGCAAAACATATTCGTATCACAGGAATCGAATCAAATTAGAATAAAACTGGGTGATTTTGGACTATCAGCAGTTGTGGAGAGCAATCGAAGAAGAAAGACAGTCTGTGGTACGCCAAACTATATTGCACCAGAAGTGTTGGATGGAAAGAAAAGAGGCCACTCGTATGAGGCTGATATCTGGTCATTTGGTATTGTACTATACACGTTGGTTGTGGGATTGCCACCATTCCAGGAGGAAACAGTGGACAAAATATACGAGAGAATCAAAACAGGTCATTTTGTGTTTCCAAACTCGTTTAAGCGAAACAACGCAAATAACACATATGCGATATACGCTATGGATATTCTGAACAAGATATTGCTCAAGAATCCAGAAGATAGACTCACAATTGAAGAAATAGAAGACCATAGGTTTTTTACTACAAAACAGATGAACAAAATTAGTGAGAATAAATCCAATACAAATAGGCATGGAATGAAGAAAGGAAGTGAATCATTATGTGAAATAATGTTGGATGCGTTACTCAATTCTGCCTACAGAATCACAAACATAGAGGACGAACACGTCTCATTCTCGTTTCCGATGAATGACCTGAAGTGCATTGGATACACTACGAAAGAAGGTGTCATTGGCCTGATTTACTTCAATAAGGACCACGTCTATCTACTACGAAACTGCCTAGTCGTTGGCAAACTGAATGGTGAAACAGAACGACACCCATTCAGGTCCATTCCAGCCAAATTCAAGACGAATATAGGCCACTTGAAGTATTTTGTAACCAAATTCACCAGTTTGAATTGGAACAGGGTGTTGCTACCAGAGGAGCCATCGGCCATCATCAAGAAAGTATCACGAGTTCAGGATGGATTTGCATTTTTGATGACGAATGGACTGATGGTATTTGATTTCAGCTGTGGATCCCGGGTTGTAGTTGGTAGAAACGGTAAGGAATTTCTGGTTCTGAGTGACTACGAAAAAGTTGTTGGATTTACCGATCAAATTAAGGTAAAAATGATAAATGTACTGATGAATCACAAAAGAAGCAAGGAACAGTAGCACAGCACAAACAATCCTACTTGCTTCAACAAGAATTTCAATAAATTTGTGGTGAAAACTGCCATATTACCAACACCTTAATATTGATCAATATTTGCCCATGTTTATCAGTTATTTCTGGTTAGTACTTTCTTCATTCAACACAACACCAAACCCGAATGACTATTTCAGTGCAACGTGTCCATTTTACGAGATCTATAGGGAAATGGACTACTGTTACCCGTGTAAGAAGTGTAAGAAGTTCATCTCAAGTTGCATTGCATGTTCAAAAGTGAGAGAATATTGCTTGGAATGCATCAAAAATAATCATGAGAGTTCATCAGAGGCAGAACGATAAAATAACAAGAAGAAGCCCAATTAAATCTGTGTTTAACTGATCATTCTCAACAAACATTTTCATCCTTAACTTTCATATTTTGCTTGACTTTTATAGATCATTGATTATTTTGCTCAAACAGTTTACAATAACTGTTCCACTCATCTGAATCATATTTTCAATAACTGTTTCAATTTGATCAAAAATAGCATATTTTACACCACATGTTTGTTAATGTATACGGTTTGATCTCTGTATTAATCAAAGTTGCATTTGCATCTCACTCCATGCATCCATATGACTCGTTACACGCATTTTGTGAGACATGTTTTCAGTACAGGGAAATTGAACAAGCCTATTTCTGTAAAACGTGCAAGTACACTGTGCTAATATGCAAAATATGCGTTAGATTTGATAAAATGCATGAACATAACTTACTTGCCAATCCCGACACTCTGAACAGTGATCCGACGAAGGAAATTACCCAGAAAGAACCTACGAAAACAACTCAACTACTGGATGATGAATCAGATAACGATGAATCTCGTACAACAAAAACAGAATGAAGATCACAAAGTGATTGGACAATAATAAGACGCAATAAGGTTGTATTCTGATATTTTACACAGGTCAGACCAAGAAAAGCTTTACACTTTACGAAATGTTTGTTTCGTTGAGACTTAATTTAGATCAAAAAGTAACAGATGCTACCTGAACCCATACAATACATTAACACCTGATTTCACATACATATTCTTGAAATAAAAAAAAGATGAATTTTATTTGATCAATTTAAAACATATTGATCCGTAAACACATGAAATCAGAGCAGAATACATGGATACATTGATTTACTGTATCGAATAACCTAAACCATTTTAATTAATTTTGTTGTGATTCCACCCATGCAAATCTCATTCATTCTGAATATGATGATATCAGTGATTCTATCTGCAGCATACACTGATTCATTCTCACGTTATTGTGAAGAATGTGGTAAAGATAATAGTCATACTACAAAAAGGACTTGTAGTACCTGTCAACTTGTAATCAATAGTTGTAGGACATGCTTTCGCCTGAATAAAGCGTGCCTCAATTGCGTGATAAAATCACAAAATGTGTCCAATACCAAGGCAGACGAAGAAGAAGAGGAAGAGGAAGATATGGAGTGTAGTGGACTAACAAGTGTTGAACCAGAAAACAATCAAGGCACAAAAAGGCCATTTGAAGATGATTCATCGGATGAACAGCACAAAAGAACCAGGTGTGAACAACCCATGGATGATTAATCGACTATTTAATAAGTAAAGTACCAGGAATACCATATTTCATCACATTACTCTAATTCTCCTGTTACTATCCAATACTGTTGAATAAGAGTCAAATTTATCATCATCACTCCCAACTACTCACTCTCAACTAC